CCTCTAGCCTAGATTTTTCAAGTTTTACTGTATACATATAATGAAAACTATCACCTCTAGGGCAGGGCAATTTTAACATTAGGGGCATTATTAAACCAACTTAAGTAGAGGACACATAGATGATATTATATATCAAAGCTCTAAGCCTTGTATCTTCAGACAATAAGATTTTTTTAAATTGTTTACTATATGTACATATTGAAAATCAATGATCCCCGGGGGTGGGGTCATTTTGACTCCAGGGCTATAATTTGTATAATCTTGCTAGAGGTTTACTACACTTTGTTTCATGCAAAATATCGAACCTCTAGCCTTTGTGAATTTAGAGAAGATATTTTTTTAAGTTTTTACTGTATACATATGAGGAAAGCCTATGATCCCCGAGGCAGGGCAATTTTGACACTAGAGGCAAAATTTGAACGACTTTGGTAGAGTACCTATAGATGATATCATATAACAAATATTAAAGCTCTAAGCCTTGTACCTTCAGACAATAAGATTTTTTGATTTTTTACTATATGTACATAGTGAAAATCAATGACCCCCGGGGCGGGGCAAATTTTGACCCCAAGGCTATAATTTGAACAATCTTGGTAGAGGTTAACTACACATTAAATGTTTCATGCAAAATATCTAACCTCTAGCATTTGTCAATTGCTAGAGGAATTTTTTTAAAGTTTTTACTATAACATTTAAGGAAAACCTATTCCCCCCGGGACGGGAATGATTTTGACACTAGAAGCAAACTTTGAACATCTTTGGTAGAGTACCTATAGATTATAACACATACCAAATATAAGACCTCTTAGCCTTGTTCCTTCAGACAAGAAGATTATTTAATTTTTTATTATATGTACATAGTGAAAATCAATGACCACTGGGAGTGGGGTCAATCGTGACCCCAGGGCTATAATTTGAACAATCTTGGTAGAGGTCTACTAGACAATGCCTTATGCAAAATTGCTAAACTCTAGGCTTTTTGGGTCTTTACAAGAAAGTTTTTTTAAATTAATTGTCATAATTCCTTTTGGTTGCCATGGCATCCAGACTTTTGCATAGAATGAAAATCTTCGAACATTTTTTGGAAGCCCTTCACCCAAGGGTCAATCCTGCCAAGTTTGGTTGAAATTGGACTAGTGGTTTTTCAAAAGAAGATTTTTAAGTTCACTATATAATCTATAGAACACACACACAAACACACACACAGGTGAATCGCTATATGCCACCGCATCGCAGATGCTGCGGTGGCATAAAAAACCCTTAAAACATCTGCTACTACTAAATAATATGATGGATGAACACCAAATTTTGTCTGTAGCATTCATAGGTAGTCCTTTTTCTCAAATCGATCAAATTTGATCAAGTTTGCTCATATTAACTTGATCGGTCCCTTTTAGACGCTGCTATAGCTAAAATAGAAAAACTTTAAGACATTTCTTTGTACTGAACTAATTGATGGATGATCACCAAACTTTGTCTGTAGCACTCTTAGATAGCCTTTTATCAAGTTTGCTCCTATTTACTTGATTGGCCCCTTTAAGTGGCCACTTTAGCTTAACATAGAAAAAAATTAAAACATTTTTGTACTGAACTAATTGATGGATAATCACCAAAGTTTGTCTGTAACATTCTAAGAAAATCTGTTATCAAATGTGTTCTAATTAATTCGATTGGCACCTTTTAGGGGCCTCTTAGAATAACCTTTATACATTTACCACTACAGAACTAATTGATGGATGATCACAAAACTTTGTCTGTAGCATTCTTAGGTAGACTGTTAAAATCTATTTGGAAAGGTGTATATATTTAAGATATGGGTCAGTTAAAAAGAAAAGAAAAAAGAATTACAATTGAATTCTAATATGCTATTAGTATGAATAAACCTTCAGTATTAAAACATTCAAAACCAGAAATTGTTTTTAAGAGCCAACTTAACCAAATATTGAATTATTTAAATACAAGTATTATAAAGACTAAATCTAAGTAGATATTTAGTCCTTATGATGAATAAATAAACTTTCTTAACAAACAATTTAACAAGTACAGGTATCCTCTGAATCAGATTCTTTTATAATGTTACAAAATGGAATAATTATAGAAGGCAACTAAAATAAAATTGAATGCTATTACTTAATTAGTTTATAAATAACTATTGATTATCAAAATCAAATGCTGATTAATAGCAAGAAAAGCGGGGTTTCAAAGTTTTATTCTATAATCAATGATCTTTGACAGATAATTTATCTACAAACTAAAAATATTTATTGCTAAAAAAATCATGGTCAAGAATAATTTGGCAATTATTACTGGGTATTTAAGTCTTAGGCAAGAACAATTTCTTTAAAATATCCAAATGGAAATGATTATGAGATCTTTAATTGACAGTTTTAAATAAATAAAGCACTCTTACTGATCTCTCAATAACGAGCACACCCACCTGACCATAGCATTTATGTTTTAACTGTGTATCTGGAATAAACATATCATTTTAACATTTATGGTGTAAAATTAAGTCAAACTTTTAACTATTCATTGGCTCCACACTAAAATTAACATATATTTTATAGGACTGGTAACAGGTAAGTCAAAAAAGTTTGCCACCAGGAACTGTTGCTTTCAGTGAGTCTATTGTTAGAAAAATCTTTGCTTATTTTTAACTCTAGAATTCGGACAGATTGCATCATACTGATAGATCTTTATGCAGGGTCAGTTGTAGTCAAGAATTTTGTCCTGGAAATAAAAGTAGATCTAAAGAATGATTACATTTGTTTCCTAAAGATGAGTTTGTGATCTCATTTTTAGCTCACCTGACCACGAAGGTCAAGGTGAGGTATAGTAATGGTGCTATGTCCGGCATCCGTCGTCGAGCGTCGTCAACAATTATGTTGTTAACACTCTAGTCTGGATTACCTGCCCTTTGTCTAAACAAAGAGTCAGGCACAAACCAAATAATGGCGGCGGCGATGGAAACGGTAAGTTTACGAGCAAATAGCAAAAGGTGGTTCATTGTGATAGTATTGACTTTCTGGTCAATATCAATGGTGTAGTTTTCATTCGTGTAAAGTGTTCTTATGGAGCTATTACTTATGATCAGATTTCACATTCCTTACAAGTTGAATATTTTTCGGACAAATTTACACATAGTGTAATTTCGGACAATATATATTTAATTGATAACTTTTATCTTCATATATCCTTATCGTGGCTTGTGACAGCATCTTACTGTACTGAAGTAGATAATTACGTTACAGTGTGCGTAAATTATGTCCTTGCATATAATAAATGCATTATCAGTGATTATGTTTCTTTAAGAATAAAATACATTTTAGGTAAATTCTAACAAATATCCAATATACATTGAACTTCTTAAAAAAAAAAATATTCTGAAAACCTAGGTATCGAGCTGAAATCTGAGAATTTCAACACCCATCAATATTGAATAATTAAACATAATTTTATTCAATTTCAGATGGATCACAACTACATTAGAGCTCAAAATAGGCTGCCTGGTTCCAGGTAATAGAAATGCGATCTGGACCGGACCACTCCTATGTCAGACACAAAGACTCTACCCCTAAGAAACGGGGAAGTAAACGAAACTTATCGACTCCAACAGGAAAGCAGCTAAACATGAAAATAAACGGATTGAACATGGGTAAATTATTTTCTTTTACTACTACCTTCTATTTTATTAATTAATATATATACTTGATACAGATACATATATATATTATATTGATATGGATTTGGTTAATAAATTTAACTCAAAATAGTTTTTTATAACTTTGAGTTATTTCTTTTATTCAAGACAAGACCATGCTCCTTTATGCTTTTACAGAATCTTTAATATAAACCATAAAAATTTCAATAATTTACATTGAATACTTGTTAAATGTACATGTCGTATTTTATATAAACCTAGGATGAACGATCATAAGCATAATAGATGGTCGGCTGATGAGAAGTCTTTCTTTGAGGAATACAGCCAGGTGTCAACAAGAGGAGAATCTGAAAATTAGTTTCTGGAACAATTGTGCGACAGCTATGAACAAGAAGTTTGGTGGAAAAAACAGAACAGGTAAACAATGTTTTGAAGCTTTGCTAACATAAGTCTGGTCCTATTAAGTCTGATTTTTCTAGGCTCTATTTTTCTTCAGCTATATTATAAATACATTATGAGACCAATGCTCATAAACTTGCTTGGCATGACTATTGTCAACATATACAGTACAGCTAATACTCAAGTATTTTAAAGGCCATAATATAATCTGTCTGTATTTTACTAGGTGTTGCTTTTTATGCTTTGCAAGTTATTTGTGATATACATGTATAGCCCCCTCTCATGCACAAGAATCAGATTTTTTAAAAGGTTTTTTCCCAGACTCCTAAATTGCAAGTGTTTTCCCGGATTTGTGTACTTGTGTTATTTGCTTTCAAAGGAAAATCTTGTAAGATGGCAGCTTGGCGCGTTGAGTCCCTTACCAGTACATCTAGCAACACAGCATGTACCTCTTCAGCTGCTGAAGATTTTGGAGATTTTACACAGCTGCCGGAGACAAACGGTTGTGATGTGGGAACACAGACTGAGTGGTCTTTCAATAGAAAGAATAGGCAAGAATATTCTTATCTCAAAATTCATTATTCTGTTCATAACAAAATACATCATTAAAATTTGACACACATTATCTAATAACTGATCATCAGTATGTGATCTTCTATTGCCTTGTTTTACAAATTGTTGATAACATATTTGGTTATGTGTAATAACTTAAATCCTGAATATTTGTATTTATACTTTCTGTGTTTGACAGAGGCATATAGTTTAAAAGAGCTTCTTTGGATATTTGTGAAAATGAATTGGTACTTTTAAAAAATACTTGTCATAGAATTTAAAATGTGTCGATGCCCAAATGTCTTGGTATTGTTAAAGAACATAACTGCCCGGATGATATTGTGTAAAAATGTACAAGCTCCTTAAAAGTTAAATAAACTTTTTTTCCAGGACAAGCAAGCAAGATTGGATATTCTTTGAGCCACGAAAATATCTGCAGGGGGTAAGTTTGATGCTTACAGAAGCGCTTTAAACCCCCATTCAGTAATGCTAGTTAGAAAAAGTTATTAAAAGTCTAGCACTTAGCCATCACACAAATAATCTTGTGCAGTATAAATTAATTGAACTTTAACTTGACAAAGTTCAGTACATCAATTAATGATGTTTTTTATCCTCTAGTCGAAGACATTGTTTTTGTCCTTGACTTTCAAAGAACCTTGACCTTGATAGAAAAATATGAGCAAAATCGACTTTGGCTTGTAACTTGCTGGGGCATTGTGTTTCACAAACACATCTGTTCTATATAAAGTTTTATTTTATTAACGATTATTACCTACATGTATGTTGAGAAGTTTTGCAACCTTGAATGTTATAAGCTTTCGAGACAAACTGAGAAAAACAGAATGAGCATGGTACTTTGAGGACCACTCTTATTTGCTTTTTGCTAAAAAAACAAAACAAAAATTTCAATGTTGCTTGCTATAACTACCATTTGATATTGATAATGGTCATTTCAGACAAAGAGCAAGTGTGCTGAGACATTAAATACTGCTGCACTGAGACGTCTAAGGACCTATTCAGAGCTAAAGGAAGAGGACATACATGAGATCATAAAAAAATTATGTTGAGTATTATTTTAATTTAATTAACAAATAAATAATATTAAAATATAATACTAAGCCGAATACAAATTATGCAATGATATATTTATAACCCACAAACAAAAGTTTGAGGGGGGTATATTGGAGACATCACGTCAGTCGGCTTGCGTTTAGTCGCGGCGGGGCTTGTTGGTCCGTCCGCATATATACGAACATTCTTGTGGCGCAAACTACTTCCACATTTCTTGAGTTGATTCATTTTGAAACTTGGAATGTTTTATCACACTGATGTGCAGATATGCAATTCAATCCAGGTTGGCAATAGTTATGTGCTCTTGAACTTAGCCAAATTTTGTGAAAACTGCTTATAACTTCCATCTTGGCTGTGTATACTGTGAAAATGCTGCGTTGTGGGGGTATTAATCATCTTTAGTGATAGTTCTTGTTATAATTTATATCAACTGAAGTCAATTCTTTTTTGGTATCACAGCATAATTATTTTAAAGATAAGGAGTAAAAAATGGGATAATAAATTGACATTATTGATTAGAAATTGTTAGAAATCTCTAGCTTTCATTGACATTTGCAGTGCACAAGAAACTGTAACTCTACTTTGTTCTGTTTTAAATTCTTCTTCTTTGAGCATAACTTTGTCAACTTCTATGCAATGTCAGGGACACATCTGTTTCAAAGAAACATGTCGAGTCGATTTAAAAAAGAGCTTTTTTTAGCTATTTTAATTGGATATTTACGCAAATACTCAGCTGATCTGTAAACTCGAGTTATTACTGAAATAAAAGATTTATTAAGTTGAAAGGTGTCAGATGTGCATTTCATTGCTGTATTAAACAACATTTTCCAGGTTCCAGCTCTTCACATGAAGTTGCAGCCCACCTGTTGTCGTCACCCTTGCGAGGAAGTATTATTGTGTAAACTTCTGAATGAAATTGAATTTGCAGCAAAAGAATGCTGCAACAAGAAAGTGTTTTGGCCCAAAAAGAATTCTGTGACTTGACTGATTTTAACTGGCATGAAACTCATTGGTGAACTTCTTGAACAACAAACCATTGCTTAGCTGATGTTCTCTTGGCAGTGTCACTACCAACATCAAAAATAGGGAATACCAACAGTGTTCATAAACTTATACCAGTTTTATCAACTGTGTTTGGAATGCTGATGAAAACCAGATACCAAGAGCTGTCTTTAGTTCAGAAGAATCATGCAATGACTTTGGCCTAATGAACAGACAAGCCAAAAGTAATTGGGTCACAACTATGTTTTGTTGCCTTCAGAAATTGTGTTAAGAGCCCAATGCCACAAACTATTGACTAATCAAAAAATTGGATTGAATAAACTAGAAAAAAATATCTCTTAAATGGACATTCCCCTTTTATCTGGTATAAATCAGTGAAGTAATATTTAATAAGATATGTCTTAAAAAACATTGGATTTTGTTTTTATTTTTAAACTCCAACATATCAGAAAAAGTTTAGTGGCATAGTACCAAAATAATTAAAGTTTGTGAATTTGGGCATTCAAATTGTTAAGAATTCTGTTCATGTTCATTTGCACATGTTTTTATCTATGCGAAACTTTATTATTTTTGTTTTTAGTTTATGCATTGTATATTTTTTATTATGCATTTGACTATGCAAATGTTGTTTTTAATTTGTTTTTCAAGTTGGTGTTTAGGGTTGTATTACAGAAATGTTCATGATTTTTATGCTCCCCAAAAAAAAAATTTCTGTGGGAGCATATATTTGCCGGGTTGTCCGTCCGTCAGTCAGTCAGTTCGCTCCGTACGTCCCGAATGCGTGTCCGCCCCATAACTTTGTTTTTTGAAGTCGGATTTTAAACTATTTCAACAGAAATGGATCACCATATTAAGACGACGTGTAGCAAGCCAACGTTTGGATCGCTACCGTTGACGTTCAAGGTCACAGCCATGATCTTGCCAGCAAAAAGTCGTGTTCCGGCCCCATAACTTTGTAATTTATAAGTTGGATTTTTAAAATTATTTCACAGAAAAGATCACCATATTTTTAAGACGAGTGCCGCGCGCAACATTTGGGCTGCTACATTAAAGGTAAGGTCCACAGCATGACCTATGCATCAAAATCGTGTTCCGGCGCATAACTTTCGTTTTTTAAAGTTGGATTTCGAAAATATTTCACAGAAATGATCACCATATTAGGACGAACGTGATGCGACGCAATATTTGGGTCGCTACCTTTGAAGGTCAAGGTCACAGCATCCACATGGAACATCATAATTGTGACACTGCATCTGACTACGCAAACCTTGTGCTTCAAGTAGGCGTTCTATTTATGGAAAATTGAATGAGATTTGTCCACAGCATGACCTTGCAGCAAAATCATGCTGGCCCATAACTTGGTTGTTTGCAGTCAGATTTAACAACTATTTTTAGAACAAACTACTTCTGTGTCCGATACCTACTCGCGGAGCATTACCCGGTTCGACCGGCTCTTGTTCTGAACTAAAGTAGTATTATTTGGTTGCATGTTAAAAATATCTATATTTTTTATCTTTTATTATTACAGTTTTTTTTCTTTGATGATTCTGTAATATGAACAAGGCCCCTATTTATGTTCATAAATGAATGTTGTCAATGACCAAAAAAAGAATTAACTGTACTGAAAGTACTGTGGTCATCTTTAAAGGACAAAACCCACTTTAAAAAAAACTGTCCGTTTGCATTTTTTTCCCCAATTGAAAATTTACTTGGGGGCTGTTCCAGGAAAAAGTGTTGGGGGGGGAAGGGGAATTTTAAAAAAGGGGGTTTACCACAATAAAATTTTTATCTTTTTTTTTTTACAGCCCAAATAGGGAAATTCCGGGAAACCCCCCCAAAACCCCCCGGGAATTTTAATTGATTTCCTTTCCCACCCCCCCCCCCCCCCCCCCCCCCCCCGGGGTTTGCCTTTTTCCCCGGGAACCCCCTTAGTCAAAATTTTCCCATTTAGATAGCTTTTAAGTTTTTGTATATCTATTTTATAATAAAAATAAAAATGCCCTAGTATAAAAATTAATGGGAAAAGTAAATAAAAAAAAATTTTTTTGGGATTTTTTTTTTGGTTTTTTTTTTTAGCATTCCCAAACACATTTAAGTGGAATTTTTTAACGGCAATCACAAATGGAAATGCAATATTCTCTCATATATATTTGTAGTGTTATTGAAGACTTCCCAACCTTTTTGGCCGTGACACTGAGCCATTCCGGCATGTTATACACAATGGATCAGATAGACAGGACATTTTAATTTGTGAATTAATTGATTCCATTGTAAATGGAAAGAAATTTAAATTGTTGGGGGACAACATGCAAGTTTTTTTTAAATGTTTTAACCCATGAGCGAAAATCCAGAGGGAATGCAGCTCATATGGGAGCATTGGTTTTGGATTCAATGGGCAATTGTACAAAAATTGAGCTTTGTCACTTATCTCACCAGACACCACAATTGTGACCTGCGAGCACTGCCCGTCTCAGCATTCTTGTGTTAGAAGAAAAGGATATTCAAATACTAAAAAAGAATGTCTCACACCATATTGCAAGATTTAAGGGCAGAGTTTTTTCCATGGATAAATTCGCCAAAAAAATGAAAAACAAAAAAACCCTTTAAGTGTGTTTGTTTGAATTGCCCGAGTTCACCCAGAAAAAAAAAAAACTGATTTCCCATCCCAGTAATTTTAAAAAAATGAACAAAAAATACTCAGATTTGTAGACATCTTGAAAGCTAAAAAAAAATCTATTTGGGTCTGGGTTTTGCAAAAAGGGCCCAACCTTGAACCACCCAAAGGTCATTTTTGGTGGGTGATAAAGCTTTTAGAGAGTTTTATTTTCTGGGGCAAAACGATTGAGAGCAGCGGCATTGACTGAAATGGAGCGGTTTTCCCATTTAACACCAATCACATTTGAGCTCTTTCATTTGCAGATGGCTGTTTTAACAGTCTTTTACCAACTGTTGTATAATACAGCAAATACAGAGCCATGTACTTTACATGCACAAAAAATTCCCGGGCTGCAAAACAAATGCCAAGGGCAATAAAGGGTAAAAAACCAACTTTAAACCATTGCAAGGAATTGGGCAAATTTCATTTTTAAAAGCAAAACATCTCGAAGGGGCAGGGTGAAAAAGTTTTGGCGTTGATGACTGCAAGACAGTGCCAAAAAATTGATATACCAATTTGATGGGGGCTCCAACTCAACTGGTTGAGAGAGAAAGTGGGCCCAATAACAGACCCATTCTTAATGCGTGAAAACCCCTGACAACCCGGGCCCTCCACATGGAAATCAGGGAACTGTGACATGCAGTGATATAAAAACCCTTGTGCTTCAAGTGGGGTGCCCCTTTTTTCAGGGAAATTTGGTGTTTGTTGTCAAACCCCAGACAGAGACAGGCTACGGGCTGAAACTAAAGATATGAGGGGTTCATTTTTTAAAGGACACAACCAAATCGAAGAAATGCTTTAGAGATTCTCCTTTTGGGCTTTGTCAGAAATTTTGGGCATTGTTAAGCGAGAGTCGGGCCCTTTTTTCCAGTTTTTGAAAGGGGTTTTTTTGAAAATTTAACGGGGGGAAAAAACCCCGAAAATAACAGCCCAAAAGCAAAATTTTGGGAGAGGGAGCATCTTGTTAGGTTAAACTAAAGGAAATTTTAAAACCATTTTTCAAAAAAGGTCCGAGTTTTTGGGGTTTTGGCGGAAACCCCAGTAGGCATTTTTTGGGAAACCCCCAAAAGATCTGTTGAAATTTTGTTTACTGAAAAAAATTTTTTTCATCGTGCTCAAAGGCAAAAAAGTTGTTTTTCAGCAGTTGACGATAAAATGGAAAAATCTTTCCCGGGAACTTGGGGAAGATAAGGCTTTTTATCATGTGTGGGAAAGAAGAGTTGCTTCTATGAAGCGCTGCCCCAAAAAACCCTAAAAAAAAGGATTACCCTTAGAAAATTAAAAAATGGATTTTTTAAAAACCAAAACCAAAATTTTTATTATAAAAATTGGGGAAGGTGAAAAAAATTGACGGGATTCCCCCTTTTTTAAAAAGGGGTTTTGAAACAAATTTACCAATAAACATTTTCCCATTAGTTTTGGGTTTAAATTTTCACTCATTGGAAAAAAAAATCAAAAATTAACATTAAATCCACCAGGGTCGTATTCACAAAGAAATTTAAATTAAAAAATAATTTAAAGTAAAAATTTTTAAAAATTCCCCTTTTTTCCCTTCATTAGGAAAATTTATTTTTGGAAAAATCATTACATTGGGGTGAAAAAATTTTCATAAAACATTTCTTTTTTTGCAAAAGTAGGTAAATTTTAAAAAAAAATTTTAAATTAAGGGTTTGTTTAAAAATTTTTTATAATTTTTAAAGTTTTTGACTTAAGATGCTTTGTGAATATGACCCATTGGAGGGGAATTTTAAAGTTTTTGGAAAAGGAGACTTGTTTTTACATTATTATGCAAATTTACAATAAAGAAAAGAAATACAAAATTTCATAATTTGGGATCTAACAGTTCAAAAAATAACAATACCCAAATTTTTAGTAAGTTGCCCCAACTTTGTTTCAAAAAATGTTGAAAAACCACTTAAAAAAGGGACCTTATGACACTTTTGATTTAGATTTTGGCCACCAAAATAGACCAAAGGATAAAATGAACCTGATTTAGGTAAGTTGTAGAATTTCTAAAGTCATATTTTTTATTCCAAGTTTTACCAAATTTCACCAAAAACAGCAAAATAAGAATGTTTTCTCTGGTTCAGTTTAAAACCCAAAATACTGGTTTTCAAATTCTTCTGCAATAAATTTTTATTCCCCAAAAATATTCCTTCATTTTCTCTGGTAAACAAAGTCTGAAAGCGATGTCTGACTTGTTAAAAAATAAAATGGGCCCGAGCATCGATGTCCCCTCCT